TTGGGCAATCCTACTTCCGTAGTGATACTGCCTCGGAAACCCAAGGAGGGGTCGCTATGAGTCGGGGCCGACTCGACAGCACATAACAACAACAACAACAGGTAAAACAAAGAAATAAAACCAAACAACTGTTATCTTTCTGCTTTTAATACTTTATATCTTGCAACTGACCAATATATGATGGGGGGGGGATCCTGTTAAAAAAACAAACAATGCCTTCAAAGTCCATAAAATAAAATTAAAATAAAAAACTATCTCACCTTCCTAATTGATTTTTTTTTTTTTTTTTTTAAAGGCCCAGGGATTGCATACGACAGATACGGAGAGGAGGAAGGGAGAGAGAAACTCCTTGACAGCTCATGAGAGATGATGTCTCTCTTGGACTCTGGTCTCCCAAGAGTTCTCCACCGAGACATGGTGATCAGAGCTCATTGCTCTGTGGTGACTTCCTAAGACTGAGGGGATGGCTGGAGGACATGCTGATCCTCTTCGATGTCTTCTCCCTTATTTGGTCCATGAGTTGCAGAGGCTGGTATGGTATTTCCTAGTTTCCCAGAAGGAAGTGACATGTCAAGCATGAAGTGTCTAGTCGCTGTCCTCATGCTTCCCTTTGGTCTGTAGTTTATGAGATGAGAAAGAGCAGGACAGTCCCATCTTCTTTCCTTGTCATTCATTCATTTCCTCATTCATTTAATGAACATTTATTTACTAAATGCTATGTGCTTATAACAGATAAACAATAGAACTTTGTGGTAGGTCAGGATGAGATACCGAGTGTAAAGGTAGCCCTGGTATAAAAATACCTCAAACCTAACCATATAAATGCTTAAGAAAGAAAAGGATGAATATTTTATTCCTCTTCTAGGCCATTTTGGCCTCATTTCCAATCAGGAATTAAATAGATGGGTCTATAATGTGCTCCTTTTACATCACCCTTCATCATCTCTGATGACAGTACATTGACATTTTAATGGCAATACGAGACCTTGGAATAAAACTATCTTTTGTTTATAATTTAACTCGTGTTGAATTATAATAGAATCCTGGTAGAAGTGCACATGACATCCACATAATTAGAGGACAAGTTCTTTCTGATCATTGCTATTACCATCAATATCAAATTAATTTATACTCATGGGCCACTTGATGTGAAGTGTTACCAAGCCTGGGTAACATTTTGTTTCCTGGCTCTGAAAATCACAAAGACAAATGCATCTGTGACCTATGGCTGGTTTCCCTTCCCTGCTGCCCTCCTCTCCTTTCCCCATGCCCTCCTCTCTATTGATTTTCATTTAATTATAACATTCTGTAGCAATTCCTCGAGAGGAATTAAATGGCAGGGCTCTGCGACAGACACAAGGCTGGTCAGCCCTCGAAGTCACTAGAGATAACCTGCAGGGAGAGTCATGCATAATTCTGTAGCTCAGAGTATGTCTTCAGAGAGAATTATGTTGGCAGCAAATCAGCCTTGGATGCTTGGAGGTTTGGGTAGGAACAGTGGTATGGGGGAGTTTATATCATCTTTGTCCTTCCTCAGGGAAACACAATTTGATTGAAGCTGTCAGTTACATGAAAGCTCATACAACTGGAAATGGTGCAAGCTTCCAGCTTCGGTGTGGGAGACTGTTACGGTTTGAATTTTGGCCCCCAAATTCTAGGTTGTAATTCTAACCTGTTGATGTAATTTCATTTGGAAACAGACTTTTCTTTTTTATGTTAATGAGGCCATATCAGTGTACAGTGTGTCAAACCTATTCATTTTTGAGAAATAAAAAGAGCACATTAGGTTCAAAAGCAAGCCAGCACAAATGGGAGAAAGATAGATGGTACATGGACATGTACAAATAATGCTGAGAAGAATGTTAGAGAAGCTGAGACAAGGATTTTTCCCCAGAGCCAACAGAGAGGGCTTTCCCTAAAGCGGGGGCCCTGATTTATACTTCTAGCCTTCTAATTAAGGGAAAATAAGTTTGTTAGTCAAAGCCACCCACTTGTGGTATTTCTGTTAGAGAAGTACTAACAAACCAAGACAGAATTCATCGGTATTTCCAACTCCCTTTGCATTCTCTGCTCATATTTTCCACGACAAGACCAAACGTGTTGCCATAGAGTCGACTGAGAATCTTGGTGACTCCATATGTTACAGAGTAGAGTTGTTCTACTGAGTTTTCTGGGCTGTGATCTTTACTGAAGTAAGTCACCAGGCTTTTCTTCCATGGCACCACTAGGTGGGTTTGAACCATTAACCTTTAGGTTAGCAACTGAGAGCAAAATGTTTGCACCACCCAGGGACTCACATACATTTTCCAAGCGTGCTTAAAAACCAAGCTCTGTGCTCAGTGCTGGAATCCATGCATTAAGGTATAGGCACTGAAGGGATATCTCATGGGCTGAGGATATTAAATGAGTCCTTTCTAGGGTCTTAAATCCTTGTCCTGATTTTTTTTTTTGCAGAAAGTGATTTTAGAAACGGGTGGGATCCAAGGTGTATTGGTTGACTATTACCCAGTTCAAAGCACATTTGTTATTTTTCCACAAAGTCTATTTGCAGATCAATTAACCAATTCTTATGTTCAAATCCACCAGCCACTCTTTGGAAGGAAGACTGAGTAATCTATTTCCATAGAGATACTGCTTCAGATACCCAAGGAGGGGTCACTATGAGTCAGAACTGACTGGACAGCAGTAAGTTTTTTTGTTTTTTGTTTTGATGATGTGCAAATGGCTCCCTTCTGAAAGGTTTTTATGGGCTCAGAATGCCCATTATATTATTTCCTTTTATGGCTTTTTGTTCATTTTTTTACCTTTGCTAAAGTGCCACTTTAAAAAAAAAAAAAATGATCATGTCTGTTTTTGTGTTCTTGGCCAGAGTAAATTGATGATTTTTTTTTTTTTTTTTTTGTCACACCACTGCCTTAGGGCACTTTTTTCTTTCTGGTTTGTCTTTAACTTAATAACTCACGTTTGTGTCTACCCTAATGGTATCCTGACGATGATAATGGCAGAGGCTCAATTAGGAAACATGAATCATACTGTTCCATCTCTACAGTGTGCAAGAATTCCTAAAGTGACAAGGGGATTTCATTTTCTTTTGTCCTCTGCACTTCTAATTCCCTTTATTGTTCATGCCCCAACACTGTCCACATCACTCTTCAAACACATTTCTCAGGCTTATTAAAAACAGCATCTTAGGTGAGAAAACCCCTTACCTATTTGCCAATCCCACGGCACCTTTAACAGCTCCTTGTGCTCCATTATAGCTCTGCAAATTCAAAGAAAGTAGACCTGATGAGCAAAATTATAATGCTCCTGACTTCTTTTCTCTCTGACTCACCACATTTACACAAATAATGAAGCAACTGATTGAATTTTCCAAAATAACTTTGAGCCATGCAGCATCAAGTCTAATTAGGCAGCCTGAGGTTTATCCCTGAAGGATCTTATTAGATGTGGCCAACCATAGTGAGACTATTCTAGTAGGACATGGTGGAGCTCAAAGCTTTTATTGTCCTCATGCAGTCTGTCCATATCCATTGCTTCTTATGGCTTAGATGCTTTTTAAAATGGAAATGGCAAGGTTCAGAAATTTCTGAGCTTCCAGGTTTAATTAATTTTCAGAGTGAACATTCTCTAGAGCAATGGTCCTCAAACTTCAATGTACATGAAAGTCACCAGAGAGCTTGGTAAGACACAGGAAACTGGGTCCCACCCCTAGCAATTTTGATTTAGTAGATGTAGGTGAGGCCCATGGATTTGCAGTTGTGACACGTTCTCACATGATGTCATTACTCCTGGTCCAAGAACGCACTTTGGAAATGACTGCCCTAGAAGGGGACCAGGGTGTAAGGCTGGTCCCACTACACAAGCGTTATTTTGGTTCTAGCTGCTTTCATTGTCTCCCATTTGCCAAACACCCCATTTGCCACTTCCATTATTTTGGCAGTAGTGGCATAGTTTCCTCAAGGCTCCATCAGCTCTAATGGACTATAACTGAACCAATAAATGCTAGATCTCTGGGTATATTTTTTATTGATTCAAGAATAATAATCCATAAAATAGGCCATTCATCTACAAAATGTTAGTTAAAAGTAGTCAAACCCAGCGATTCTTTTTCTTCTCACAAAGCTGAAGCACTCAATCTAGGAGCTCTAAAATGCCACTTCACTTTTAAAAATGAACCAAAAATAAATCTGTTTCAGTAAAGTCTTCACATCTCCCTGCCTTATTTGCGATGGAGTTTTTCCACTCACATCTCAGGATGGAGGATTATTGGAAGCAGTCTATTTGTGAAACATGCTTAAAGTGATGCCAAAATATGTTCCATAAATAGTTCCAATCACTGACCCAATACAATTACAAAGTACTTGCTTTCTAGAGAAAGATTTGGTGAAAGTCAACTGTAGATTATACTGTCCTTCTTTACCCCTCACCTGAAACTAAAATTTTTGGTCTATACTTAAGGAAAATTATTCTCACAACAAATTCTGAGGTATTTATCTGTGATGACTTCTACGCTTTAATGCACGAATTATAGCAAAACTGGTGCTTTTGACTTTCTGATGCTTAGTTGATATCTGTGTTCTATCTTCACCTGTTTAAGGAAAATAGAAACACTGAGTTTCCAAGAGCTGAATTTGAAATATGGCTCACTCTTAAAAATCCATGGATAATAAATGGACCAATATATAAAAGGATAATTTTAAACTATAAGCTTTCTGGTAACAGTAGTCATTAGTAAACAAAATGTCCCTTTTTGGAAGTACATCAAATCATGGCATCTATAATTTCATTTTTCTAGTTCTCTAAAGTTAATAGGCTTGGGGAAAGGCTTCTTCATCCTTCTGTGGTCTCCTAGCGTAGACTTTATATCGGTTTATATAACCCTTATACTGGTTTGGGCGAGTCAGTGTACTATTGCTTTCTTGCAAATTCTCTTCAAAATTAATGAAATATTTTATAATAATTTATGATAAACTTGTTTAGTTCAGGAGACATTAACTGATAGAGATGATTAGTTTTCATATTTCATAAGACCTCTGTATGGGATGTTGGTAACAGGTTTCTAGCCTTGATTTTTACAAAACAAAGTGGCCCAAGGGAATTAAAAAAAATATATAGTAAAAAATAATACATCCTCAGTTTCCATTTTCTGTATTTCTTGTTATTTTACTCACAACTGAATTCCACTGAAAAATGCACCAAAGAGTCCAATCATTCCCAGAAACTCCACTCGACTCAGGGTTCGGATGATGTATTCTTCCCAGACGTTAGAGATACCATACAGTGTGGCTCCTCCTAAGACCAGAAGGTCCCCTACCAGCTTATTTTCTCCTAGACAGCAAAAAACAGAGAGAACATCATCACAATTTTCCTAATGAAAATCTGACATCAGCAAATTGATTGTTTTGCCTATTCTACCTGACATTTTTATGGAAGTCCTGTAATTCACCAGCTGAATTTTAGTAAAGTTTGTTAATCTGTTCTACAGATATGGTCTGATATAAAAAGGTTGTTCAATAGGAAGTCTTCGCTAAAAGAGGGACAATTGCCTCCAGACGGCACCCTTTCCACAAAGCCCAATGTCTCTCGCCAGATATACTATGAATATATGCTAACATGTGAACTTATAACACTTACTTCAGGGCACTTTCCAATAGTTTGGTGTTGTTGTTGTTGTTGTTATATGCCGTCGAGTCAAACCTGACTCATAGCGACCCCTCCTTGGGTTTCCGAGGCAGTATCACTACGGAAGTAGATTGCCCCATCTTCCTTCCGAGGAGTGGCTGGTGGGTTTGAACTGCCAGACTTCTGGTTAGCAGTCAAGTGCCTTAGCCACTAAGTTCTGAATCCCCACTCCTTGCTGTATAGTAAGGGTACCTACTCCAGCATGACTTTAAAGGAGGGGCTCATCCATCACTGTGGGTTCCCAGATTAGCTGAAACAATCTAAACTACAGAGCTGGGTTCTTAGTGTTCAGTTGGAAGCACTGAGCATTCTCCAGGTAATGACTGCACATGAAACAATCTGGTCGGGACCTGGGGAAAGGCCTCTTCATTCTTCCATGGCTCCCTGAAGTAAATTTTGCATTTACTCTAAATGGTGCCACTTTTTCTAAGGCAACATCACACTTGTAGGTAAGGACTGGAAGAGAGGGGAAGAGTGCCTGAAAAGCAACAGCTTCACAGACTAGGCCTCAAGGGAATGGAGTCGAGATTCTGAATCTGGAAGGGGCTGGAAGCTCTTCATGAGGAGTTGCCATCTTTGCTTGGTCGTCAATGAGCTGAGAACCTGATGAGCCCTCAGTGAGAAACTAACCCTGGTGTGAAGTCCCTAACTGTATCTTCTGGAAAACTTAAGGTTTCAATGAAGAATGTGTAATTTTGGACAAACTTATTAATCTCTGTATGTGTCTGCTATAACATAATCACAAAACTTTTAAGTATTTCGTATGAGGAATGTTCCATAACATAAAATGTGACTACAAGTAAATTATAAAGAACATGATTTAGTCTCCTTTCATTCAGGAGACATTTTAGAATCTTGCGAGGACATGGGGCCATTATTATGAATATCAATTATTGTTGTACCAGTGAAGTGTGGAAATGCCGCTTAATATAATTCTTAGCTAATAAAATTAATTTTATGTTAATGGATTCAGGAAAGTTAGCCTACAATGAAATCCTTTTAAAGGAATTGCAGGAACATCAATCTATCTTTTAAAAGTCCTAACAAGAGTCTACATTGTGTCAGTGAATAGTTTCACCCACCTTTTATCTGAAGCTCCACATTTTATACAGTTATGGCCCATTCTGTTAACTAGCCTTTGAGTATCTAAGTAATCTATTCACCTGCACTTTGAGTCTTCACCAATGCACCAACCCTTATTGATAATCATAAAACAATTTTGCAAAACTGCAAATTGGGAAGTATTTCCTAAATAAACAGCTATAAAAGATTAAATATTTTATTATAATATTGCTGTTCAGTGTATTTGCCAGTTTTTAAATTATTCGAAAGTGGAAACATGTACATACAGCATGTATGAAAATTTAATTGATTAAGTGCAATCAAGTTGACCAGAACACAATTTTATCCAATCATATTATGAAATGAAGCATTCGTTATAATACAAATATTAGAACATATAAGGACTAATACTTTATATCAAAAATTTGCACTTAGCTAACTGGCAATTACAACATATAACTCCACATTTTATGCATTGTTAATACATTGTTGTTGTTAGGTGCTGTTGAGTCAGTTTCAATTCAGCAACCCTATGGAGTAGACCCTGGAAATGGTGCCAGTTTCTGTTCAATGTTCTTGGTGAAAATTATACCCAGCAAATCTCTTATTTGTTTATGTATGCAACTATGATGGGTGATAATGTCTTACAAATTTTGGGTCCCTCCAAACCAATTCGTTTTCTCTCTCCTCTGAATGTCTCACCATTGGTAACTCTCTCATGGGATCTATGTCTGTTACTTCTTGATTTGCATGTCTTACCCCTCCACCACCCTTTCTCTTACATAGTAATGTTGGAGGCCATGGAATGTGACTTACTCAGTTTCATAGTTCATGTGCCTAGCATGGATCTTGGCACATTATAAGTTCAGTAAATGTCTAAATGAATAGAGCTAATTAAGAAGGTCTTATACCATCCTAGGGTAAAGGTTTTGAGTGGCAAACTTCTTTTAATTCAGGCAGCTTGGGTTCTAATCACATCTCTGAGAATAAAATAAAAACACCTAAACTGCTTTATTTAGCATGATATCTGGCACTTGCTAAATGTTCAGTAAATGGTAGTTAAAAAGGAATAAATCAATCATTCCTTGTCACTTTGGGTTGGACATTCCTCACTTTGGATTTCTCCAGTCATAAATGCTTTGTAAGAACTGGTTTTCCTTGTTAGATTTTTGCTTAAATGTTAGAAGTCATGTTTGGATGGATGTCTGTGTATGCCTAGTGGTAGGAGGAGAAGAGGGGAGGTTATTTAAAATCACTACTCACTACTAAGTAAAGAAGTAAATGGAGAATTACGCTATTCTGGAAGGTTGAAAGACTATTAGCACAATTCATGAAATGTGCCCATCCCATTGGATACATTCAATAGGTGAGCAGCCATTCAGATTTGTCCAGATTGTCTCAGTTTTAGTATGGGAAGTTTTGCATTCTGGAAAACCTCTCCCTTTTGAGGGAAACCAGTATAGTTGTTCACC